AAAAAAAAAACAAGAAGAATCACTTTTAACAATTGCTCTTGTCCCGACCGTGAAATTTTTCAATCGCCTGTTAATCCAGTTCAATATGGACGGCCTTTGTTCACGAAGTGTATAAAATAAAAATGGTGTTCATCCCAGTGATTTGAACGGATCCGACACACTAAACCGTCGCGGCGTCCAGATCGCTTCTACTTCCTCCCGCGTCAATTAAATCAACGTCCATCTCCGAATATTGGCGCGAGTCCGCCGTGAACGATGCGCCCGTCTCCTCTTCCCGTAACTGGGCGAACACTCGATAATTCCCGAGACAGCCGGCCGGATCGGTCGTCTCAAACTGACCCGCGTCTTCGATCGTTCTCCTTCCGACGAAACGTGCGGATTTCAACTGCGGTTGCGACGTCCCGACCGTATGGTCGCAACTCAGTCGCCGTTTATACCGTGGATAAGTTAGTGTCCTCAACACTGTCGCCTTTTCCCGCCGCTGCGCCCTACGATGGAAACGTTCAGGGATGGTTGATGGCAGAACAAACGTGTGGGGTGAGGGGGAGCGATGGGGGTGGGGGAGAGACGGACCTAATACCCATTCTCCGGTGTTTTTTTTTTTGTTTCGTTTCTCTGCCGTGAATTTGAAAAAGAGACAAAAAAGGGGGGGGTGGGTTCGAATGTAAGAGCTCGAAAACACAATTGAAAAATAAATGGCGATAGAAAAGTAAACGCGTTTTTCTGCGCGGTCGAGCCAGAGTACTGATTACACTTCGTGTGAAGTTACCAAAAGAGTCGTTACTCTCTGTCAAGGAATTTTTCGAAACACGAGGGAGTCGAACGCGTTAGAAATGATAGTTGAGCTGAGATTGCGGCTTCGGTTGCCGCGGAATCCTGACGTGACGCAGGTTCGGATGATTGCGACCATCCCGTAAGAAATAGATATTAGTCAAACGGGATGGGGACTTTCGTTTGTACGCATTTTGATTAGAGCCCGTATACCGTAGGGACGAGCACACTTATCTTAAAAGTTGCGAACAGTAAATGAAGCATACAAAAATCGGTTGCTTGTTACTCGTCGAATACTCCTGAAGTAATTGATCTTAAATAATAATAATGAAGAAAAAAAACATAAAAAAAAAAAGAATATATTATTTTGAACGTGTAAAACACTTGTTCAAGTACCTGTTTGACCGAATGAACGTGTGACAATGACATCCGTAGACAGTGTCTCTATTCGTTAGGCAGTATTCGAGTTATGTGCCCATCTCTGGTGTACGGCTACCAGTGTCGATGATCGGTAAAAAAGAAAGGAAAGAACCAGGAGGGCGAAACATTTCGAACAAGGAATATATACATAATATATATTATAAAGAAAAAGTGTTTCCACGGAAATTCGTCTCATCCGTTTCGCGGCACTATTGTTCGCCAATCATCCGTAGACATTGAAACCCCGCGGAATCATTCGTTTATCAATGAATCTGAAGTAATATCGGACTGGGCGTCGATCGACAGAGCGGTAATAAGAATGATTCTCGATCGGTAATTAGTAGTGTCGCGTCCCCGTCCCCAGGTCGACGTTCACACGATTCTGATCCTCGACGGCGACGATGACGACCAAAGCGCATACGCCATCATCGCGTAAAGAGAACTCCAAAAGCGATTCTCTCCTTCTCGTTTATATACATGATATACTTCGTTTCCTTTGTATTTGTTTTTCTTTCTCTTTTTTTTTTTTTTCTAGTAGTAGTTCCTTCGTTCTTTCGCTGTAAACGTATCCCATATCACCGTTTTTTTCTTATTTTCTTTTTTTGGTTTCCTTTCACGCCTCGCGATTTATAAAACAGCAACGATGGACGTGATTCCGGATGGTCTCTCTATTGGAAACAAAGTGACGAGAGTGCCACACGCGGCTAAAAACCGATAATAGTGAGGTCCGGGAGGTTCGAATGTAAGCATCTATTTGGTAGGACGAGCGATCGGAGTTTACAGGGAATCGAGATTAAGGATATGGTTATGGATGGTAAAATATTTGGTTACAACTCCATGTCCTGCGCCTCGTCCTCGCTGAAGTCGCTCATCGAAGACTCGCTGTCGGACGACATCCCGTTCCCGGTGCCGCCGTTCTCCTGGTCCCTTAGCGCCTCCTCTGTCGCGTATTTCCTCACGTAATCTGTCGAGAAATCAACACGGAAATTGCATCCCCTGGCTAATGATATTCTATGTGGAAATACCGTCATTCCTTTCCCCCCCCCCCCTTCGAATGGTAATCTATACTTCGTCGTACGGTAATCGACGGGAGGGACCGTGAACGCCGGAAAAGGGTGTTCCCAATGGATTGTAACATATGAAATTGATGGATCTTCGAGTGATAGAGACAGACATGTGCATAATTATTAAAAAAAGATAAAGGATACAAAAGTTTGGTAGAACAGTAGTGGAACAGTTACACGATCAATCGAATAATTTTTTAGTAATAAACACTTGTGGAATTGTAATTGTAATGTACAGTTTTTGTATTCATCTGTAGGAAGTATATATGTATAATTGTGACACTTCAGGTATAGCGATCGGCCGTTTATTTGCCACGAGGTCAATTCTTTACAGTTCAAGTAAAGCTTGTTTGCCATCAAGTTAGATATAGCTGGTACTGTTAAATATTCAATTTTACCGTCAACGAATCAAGATGTTCGATGAAAAATTAACATAAACATACTTATTACTAGTTAAGAGGGACGATTCTTAAGCTACGGCCATACGTCTCGTCACTTTTATAAGAAATAACTAAGGTCCTATTGAACCGAAATTTTGGATCCTATAAATCTCAATAAACAACGTTTTCATTTGATCGAAGTAATTGATTTAATAAAAATGTCCAACTCCATATGTTACAACCCAAACTGAAGAAACTGTATCAGTTTTTGACAGAGTGTCGTATCACATATTCGAACTCACCTGCTACTTTCTTCTTGTACTCCTCAGGTTTATGTAAATACATGGCCGCAGCGTCGCCATTTAAGGGATCAATTGGATTAGGATATGTTAACAGTTGGGGCAGGAAAGACTCGAATATATTCGATAAATCTGTAACAGACAAGAATACGTTGAATCCATAGAACCGTTTCCGAACGCCACAAAATCATTTTCGAAAACATCGTGTAAAATCAATTGTACGTAACTATCGTAACAACATAGAAGACGACTATTAAGCGCCGATGAAAATTCATAAATACGTACCGTAAAGGGCAGTCCAGGCTTGGTTTATTACGTCTAGACACACGGTGCCTGAGACCTCGTCAATGTTAGGGTGGTACACCTTGTTCATAAAGCCGATCGAAGGAGATTTGAAGGGGTAGTGGTCGGGCAAGTGAACCCTCACCTTCCATATTCCACCCTCGTAAGGCGCTGTAACGTGGTACAACTATATTTAGTAACGCTGGACACGATACACCGTTTCGAAATAATATTTTTTCTTCCGTTATCCAAAACAAATGTATATTCACAATAATAATATCGGTGATCTGAGTGTACTCAGAACAACGAAAGAGAACGATAAGATAGCGATCATCGGATCGTCGATCGATCCAGGAGAAAGATTCCGCGTGGTTCCGCTTGTTTTCGAAGCAAACGGAATATCGATGCAGCGATTTCAGGTACGATCATCGAAATTGCCGGTACAGTTGTCGACAGTAATTCCAGCGAGTTGGAAAGTCAGAGGCCACGGCATAACTCGCGAATAGATCCGTCGGGAAACTGGAACGTTGAACGGTAAAACCCCAGGGAATGCGTTCCTCTATCTCGCAGAGAAAAGGGACAGCAAATAGGAAGGTTCGAAGGAAAAGGAACGCCGTCGCTGAATCCATTGTCCACCGAGGTATCCATCAAAGTCTCTCTTTCTCGCGGAGACGGGATGGTTTTAGATCGAAGCTTACTTTAAAAGCGTTCTCCTTTCACAGGGGTGGAGGGGTCTTCTAGTATATCAAACAATGCGAATTCCGGGTCCGATGATACGCTTTTGTTCCATACAAATTGCTTACGACACCGAGGACCGTTGTTCGGTTCTTAGGCATCCACGGTAAAACGACAGCCGAACGCCATCGAAATTACACTGTTCGAAATCGTTCGAGTGGAGAGCGTTGCTAGGGACCGCGCGGACGGAAACTTCGAAGAGATATTCGAAATTCCACAAAGTACTGGGCGATCGAAAGGAATTCGGGGCTTTCAAAAATACACTCCCGTTTGTAAGTATTAGGCCACTAATCGACCAAACACACTGGAATAAAGTTTCATATAAAAGTAACATACTGACCTAAAAGTTGACACTTCTAAAGGGAAAGGTTCAATCACTGAATAAGACACTTTTGAAAGAATTCGATTTCTTTTGAATCGTTCTATATTTCCCGATCAATCAACACTGAACTAAGGACTCTTATTTTATTTAAACCTCGTCTACTATTCGATGTTAATTTGACCCAAACTCAAACATTAATTTTTATTTATATTCTTCATGAGAGAAACTTGTAAATTAACGACAGTAGTTTAACGATAAAGCGACGTGTAAGTACTATATTTCCTTAATTCGATTTCAGCTCAGACCAAGTCTTATTCAAGTAATAGTAATGGAGTAATTTATTCAACAGTGAACAAGGCTTCATACGAAGATTAATTAAAAATTAGGGGGCTCGAAAACGTACACATTTATTTTGAATCGCCCTGTACCACTATTATCCCTGCTCGTCTGTATCCAATTTCCCTCCCCTGAATCTCCAAGAAATTGTTCGCAGTAGCATAGAAAACTTCGCTAGGCGAACGATGCACGACATACAAGAGCGAGAGCAATATTTATTCTGTACAAAACCCTGACACAAGAGTTTTCCATTAAAATCACTGTTGGCAATCTTCGAAGACAGCCAAGAGAATGGACAATGTGTTTTGAGAGAACGTTCACCGTTTGTTAGCCGACCTGTATACAAGGAACTCGAGGGAAACACGATATCGAATTACTGGTCTAAGCGGAATTAAATCGCGGCTAATCAAGCCTCGGGGAAGACGGCAGATACCGGGCTTTTAACGCATTTCGTTCGCCGCGTGAAATATCAGCGACTGTTGTATAATAAGCGACCTACATCGACGTGTCACGAGGTATTAGAGCTGCACACGGAATGTTGATTTCGGATTTTGAAATATAATACCACGGTTTCAATGAAGTACATTACTGGCCAAAAGTATGGGATCAGGTCTGATAAAAAAATATTATTCTACAAAGATTTGATAAAGATAATGGGCTAAAACTGATTGGAAATTATTCGGATATGTACCGATTCGATAACTCTTATTACATCGTAACAGAATAATGAGTTGCTGTTTCATCAATCATAACCTCTGGTCTCATATTTTTGACCGGTAGGCTATTTCTTTTTCCCCGTTTCGAACTATAGCTGGTCTTTTCTCAGCGCAACTAGCAGTTTCGAAAAATGTTAAATGAGTCTGAGTGAAGATAACGATCATTAGCATTTCTTGTAAATAATACATAAATATCGCTATTTTATTATGCAGGTTTCCATAGGTCTACAGACTTTCCTGTTTTCAGTCGTTTGATTTTATTCTCACTGTTCAGGAAAATGTTGGTCAATTCGTTGCGACGAGTAGAATGTTCTTTACATGATTCGACATACATTTTGATTTGTCAATGATTGTAAGATATCTAAGGAAATATGCCTCCTTGAGTGTCATAGAACATTTTTCTTTCATTTGACGTACGCGGATAATACCCTGAAATACTGAATTAGAATCACATTTCCTGTAGTCAAGGTTTCAAAGTATTAATAATGCTTCCTAAGTGACACTAAACTTTACTAAAATCTATATTGTACCACGTTTTGCAGGTCAGATGATCTATGAATTAATAAACATACCCAATGTATTAACAACTGTCAATCGTCTCTTAAATTAATACCGCATAAACATCGAATCGGAGAAATCTATCGTACCGTAATTGCATCGAAACCAAAGAAGCCCTCGGGGTTCGATACATGCAAGCCGAGCAACGGTTATAATGTGCCTGCAAATACATTCCGGACCATCTGAGTCGAAATTACGATAATAACGCAGCAAACGACAGAATTATCAATGAGGAATTTTATTTGGCACATGTAAGAAAGAGAGAGAATCTTTAATTATAAGAATCAGAGGAGTGATAATTTATAATCGATGAAACAAATGTACTCTTGGTGGAACATGGAATTAGAGTCACTGAAGTAAGAAAGGCTGACTTCGCGGTTATACTTCTCCCCACAAAGGAAATTGTTGATTAGGATGAATACGTTTCATCTACAAAACCTAATGGAAAATGCGATACAGTCAAATCACTTGATTCGTTTCGCTGAAACTTCAGCCCTGTCGGAGGAAGACCTATAGTTAGGGACCAGTTGTCTGATATTACGGATCCTACCAAGACATCAGTGGTCTGATATTATAGACCTATGATCGGTAGTTGGTAACGTCAAACGTGTAGTGTCTTAGAAGATATAGTTAATGGCCAAGACATAGGTGAACTGGTAAAGTTCTTTTCAGTGACTGTAAGAACCTTCTCCATACCTCCATCGATCCTCTTCAAAGATATTTTAAAAGTGTAGGCCTCCAAGCTTCTTCAAGGTCATATGAAATGATTCCACTCTAATGTAGCCCCCATAGATCTCACTGAGAAATATAATTTTCTCCATTTATCATGTTGAACCCTAACCTGGAATGTCGTTTACAGGCCTGAGCACCACCACCCCAATCCCCAACGTTTTCGTTCGGTCCTACGTCACAAATGGTGCCGCTTCTCGAGGGGCTAATTTTACGGGTTCGCTACATACCCTGCATCACGTCGACTGTAAAAATCTGAATTGTACACGACACGCTTTCGAGTGTAAACCGCGTTCTCTTGAGAAATCATTACACCAACGTTCCGCCAGCAACGTTCCGCCAGCATCGTACCGTACCTTCGACAGGTGCAGTAACAGTTTGATGGCAGTTATTTGCTCGAGTGAAAAACACGCGCAGCAGTCGGGAGAGTCGAATTTCGTTACCAGATCGAATAGTAAACCGAACATCATATCCTTTTCCCTGCGTATTATCTCGTCTTACAAAAAGAAACGGGTATATTTCAGGTTCTAACCGTCCAGAGACGTTTCACGTACCATTCACCAACGGAGATATTTCAGGTTCTCCTCGCTATAGTATGCCCAAATCATTCTTGCCGTTCGGTTCATAGACGTATCTATCGTTACTCATCGTTTCTTCCATCTCTTTTGTATTTACCTATCGTCGTATGAAAAGAATTGAAGAAACGAGAAATTCACTGGACATTCATGCTAAATAACGAAGTCACGATTCATGTGCTTACTCACCAAACGAGATTTTTTCCACCGCAGTGTGACCAACTGATTCTTGCCATTGAATTCATACAATGATTATTAGTTCGCGGTGAAAATCGACTGGAGTACACTAGTTTCGCGTATCTCTGTCGCATAAACTTATCGTCACCGTACGAAAAACATCGAAGAAACGAGGACCTCACCGGGGATCGATATCATAAGGCGAATTCGCTCAACGGAAATACACTACCGGCCAAAAGTATGGGACCAGAGCTCATGATTCATGGAACAGTAACTCATTATTCCCTTACGATATAATAACAATGACGGAATCACAATATACAGAGTGTTACTAACTTGATCACTTCGAATAATGACTTAACAGTGCACTTTACGAAAATTTTGAGGCGTGGAACTTAAATGGCATCAAGGGTCACGTCTTATAGGGTACGTGCTTTTTTTGTGGGTGGAGGCATTTCAGAGATTTCAAGGTCACCTTTAATTTTTTTAACGGAATAACCTATTTTCTATACCATAGATCGATAGAGTATTAACAATTCTGAGTAAAAGTGTGTCGACCTTCGTACGTTCTAAACCTAATAGTTAACGAGATATTTACAAAATAATTTTTAATACGTACTTATTATCTGGAAGCTATAGGTGCTCGAACTGATGCCCCTCAACTTCAGTACAGCGATTTCAATACAGTGCTTATTTTGTAAATATCTCGTTAACTATTAGATTTAGAACGTGTGAAGGTCAACACATCATTACTCAGAATTGTTGGTACTCTATCGATCTATGGTACAAAAAATCATTCCGTGAAAAAAAAATCAACGTGACCTTGAAATCTCTAAAATGCCACCACCCACAAAAAAAGCACATACCCTATAATCTGTGTCCCTTGATACCATTTAATTTCCACGCCTCAAAATTTCCATAAAGTGTACCGTTAAGTCATTATTCGAGCTGATCAAGTTAGCTAAGACACCCTGTATACAAATCATTTCCAATCAGTTTTATCCTATTATTTGTATTTTTGCA